TATTTTAGCATGGAGAGGGCCGGGGTGGCGGCGTGGCGTCGATCGGCAGCCATTGCCGCGTCGGCGCGGCGCGTGCTCGGATGGCGAGGACCTCCTTGCGGTGAAGAAGAAGAAGTGGGAGGGTGCTGGTGTAAAACGGTAGACTAGCGAAACAATGCAGTAAAGCTCGTGAGCAAATGCTTTGAGTTCGTCGGGGTGTTCGTGCATTTTACCGACACGCCGCAGCCTTCCCATTCATGGGCCGTTATTATCTGGGCAGCGCCTCCAGCGTGGTGCGCGCTACTGGCTTTGTCATCATGGCAAGCGGGATGACGAGTTGGATCGGGCCGCGTCGTGGGCCGACCCACCGAGGTTTCGGTTTCTCTATTTCATTGTATTAGAAATTGTTTATCTATTTAGGTTATGAGTTGAACTTCAATAATTAGTAGTAAATTGCATGGTTGTCCAAAAATAGCGAAACAAAGTTTGTTAGGTTCGCAAAAATGTCACCTACCTGTTAGTATAGTTGGTTCCCCATTAGTGGTTAGGATGGTAGGCTCATAAGCTTGAAGTAGAAAGCTTAGCGGTATATCGATCTTTAATTGCAAGATTTGTTGTGGTAAACCGGCAATAGCTTTAGCTTTGGAATCGTGACAATGAGTTCCTTAGGTATTTATATACTTGCTGTAAAAGTGGTAACCATAGAGCGAGTCGTTTAATGGCATAGTTATTACCCTTGCTTTCGAGCATGTATCGTAAACTGGCATTAGGAGTAGGAAAATTTGTAGTCACCGTAAGAATGTAGGACACGTTCATGCTTGTTAGTAGTGCTGGTACGTAGCTTAGACTTTAGTGGGCAAATCTCACTTAGTAGTTGAATAGAGGTACTTTTGCATTGAGAATTTCTATTGCCGTAGTGTTAACCATTGCATCGTCATTTCATGTAGATCACGAACAGGTAGACTTCATACCCGTCGGTGAGACGGAGTACGACGAGGTGATCGAGGAGTACGAGGAGGACCTCTTCACACAGGAGGGAGCCCAGGAGCTTGTTGGTACTGACTTTGCTGACCCGGCACCTGCCCAAGGCAAGCCCCGGTGCATAACCCCTATCTTTAAATGATCACCGAATATATTTATATGATATGCATTTACGTTACTGAGGGCATTTTATGGAAACTACATGCATAGATATATCCACCCCGAGTCCTACTAGTGCGGTCGAGTAGTAGCTATGCTTTAGGATGTCGGTGGCGTGAGTAACCCGACGTTACTCGCAAATAGGTGATTACACTATGATATCATGATGAAATAATGGAAAGGAAAATGGTGACCAAAGGCGGGGATGTGGATTTGGTACTTGGTGGGTGTGAGGGTTGTGTCCTGCGCCCAACAGGGGCATAACCAGTTACACTTTTTTTTCCCCGTGCTGTGTCGATTAAGGACCGATCGTTGCATATGACTCTAGGCAAGTCACAGATTATTGTCCCGAGCACATACTTGGGTATGGGCGCAGGGAAGGCCTGTTGCTCTCTTATCGCGAATCCGGCTCTTTCCGGACCAACTGATGGGAAGAGGTGGTGGTGGAGGTCCTTGCACCACACTGAGTCCGGGACTCAGGATGTGGGGGCTCGGAGTCCAAGTTTGGACGGGGACCTGGACACCCGGGACATGAGGGTGATGGGTTAGCCCTGCTTGTGCCTGGGGTACAAGCGGGGCGTGTGTTTCGGGGCATCCAGCTGGGCATATTGATTCGCAAATCGTCGGGTTACCCGGTACGGCTTGTCTGCGGTTTAGCACCGTAGTAAGAACTGGAAGTGGAAAAGGAGAAGAAACAATATCGATTGCTCCACTCTTGCTTGAAAGTAGCACAGGTGCTTATATAGATTGACTAGATAAAAACTTAATACGGCTGATAATAATAAAGCGTCAATAAGGACTCACTATTAGTATTGCTTTCGCCTAAAGGAAACCAGCAACCATAAAGCCTAGCATATTCCTTGGAGTCGGGAAAGTATTCCCACTGGTCGGATAAGTCTTGCGAGTACATTGTGTACTCAGGGTTTATTTACCCCTGTTGCAGGTGATGCTTGAGGAGTACCTTGTGTGGAGGATTCTTCTGGTGGGCTCAGACGAAATCCTCGTTATCTTATCGCTAGATGTTATCTTTTAATATTCCGCTGTTTATCATTCCGCACTCTGTATTTGGTATTGTAATAATGCACTTTTTAAGAAACTCTAATGTATGAGATGGACTTGTGTTGTAACTCGTTTTCATTATTGGATCCTTGGGAAAAATGTGGATCTTTTGGGTTCTCCCTCGGGGTGTGCCCGACAGATACCTCCCTCTATAGCTTGCTTTCGAGGTGCTTAGTGTCTGGTGGAAGACGAGCGCCTCCGTAAGTGTGCTATTTTGGGCGGTTCTGCCACAAAAATTGTCTCGTGAAGAATATTGAAAATGAATAGAGAAGAGTTATGCACCTACTCAGTAAACAAGAAATTAACATTGTTATCATTTGTGTAACTTAACATCATTATCATAGTATCATATACATTCCCATGTCGCATCATCCATGATTCTTCTTATGCATTTATGAAACTTACTTATGCATATGCATACAATAGGTGCAGCCGAGGAGATCACGTTGGTGAAACTCGAAGCCGATCCACAAGAGGAGAGCCAAGAAGTGTAGCACCAGGAGGTTTCAGAAAAAGGAGAGCCTGAAGCTGATCATCTTCTCAAGTACCCGGATCATCAACCTACCACATTCATGAAAGGTAAGCCCTAGAGCATTATAAGTCTCCCTATGTTATTGATATCACCTAAGTTACTCGTATTGATGCATTACGTGATAGGAGTTGTTTAGGACCACTTACTGCATATTACCTTTCTTTGTCCAGAAATATCTACCCTGAATCCTATTTAAGTTCAGAAAACGCTCCTTATGCTTAGCTATGCTTAGACCGGTAGAAGTCGGGTGATTTCCTGTCACCTGCGAGCCATAGGTGATAACTCGATCACGGTTGGCTATATTGTGTTATCGTGGAACATAACTTGGTGTTGTTGATTAATTGGAGACCGGGCGGAGTCTTATGTTGGTGGTAATCATAGTGATTTCGTCTGTGTCGTTTAAGGACCGGTCGTTGGAGGTCATCTTGTCATGTTAAACGCATGCCTCTCATATAGCTGGCCGAATAAGTCGTTCCGACCGCAAAGCCGAGTAGCTCAACTCAGGTCGGGGACACGAGCAGTTAAAGTGCGCACCCTAAAGGTAGTAAGGATGTGCGAAGAGCCAATAACATGAGTCCAAGGGCAGGTTCGAGTCCCGAGCTTCCTGGCAGATTGGTAGTATCTTTGAGGGGGCGGCGCTGGTCTTACCTATGATTTGGACTTGAGTTATACCAAAGGTGACCTAATGCGACCTCGATGGGAGAAGTATGGGTGTGGGTTAGAAATAATTCTCTAGCTGGGTAGGAATCGATTCGAATCGCCGTCTCTCCCGGATAGTGAGAACTTGATAGGAGTACGCTTCATCATAGTAATTGATGGAAATGTTGGTTATGAGGTTATGAAAGGGCTCAACTTGATATGGTTATTATTGTATTGACTTAATGGTACTAACATATTTGGCATAGGATAGTTACTAATCTAGTATGAGATAAGATTAATAACTGGTGATTCACAGTTTAAAAGATATTGGATAACGAATGCTTTTATGCAAATAATGTCTACTAGCTCTACTTATAAAGCCTTACATACTCCTTGGTGTCTTGGTATTTTAGTTGATGATGGGTAAGTCTAGCTGAGTACCTTCTCGTACTCAGGGTTTTATTCCCATTGTTGCAGATAATGTGATGTACCACAGCTACTGTAAGCACTGCTTTGCTCCTGTCGTGGATGAGAAATATAGGACCATGGGCATGGTCATCCTATATATCATCTCACCCTTATGCTTTTGTTGGTGATGACTATGAAAACTGGCTATGTATCTAAACTACTGTTGATGTCGTTCTGAATTATGTTGCTTCCGCTACTGTTAAACTGATGTTGTAATAACTATGTTGGATCTCCGATGTATGATAAATTACTTGTGAACTTGTTGTAACATGTGTCTTGTATGTTCAATCGTGTACGATCTTGGCTTGTATGTTGGCTGATTCGAGATCCTTCGTGATACTCGACGGACTACCGGATTTACATGGGCTCAAGTGTGATGGTTTGACTGTCTCGGTGGTTGCTATTGTACTTGTGCTCTTATAAATTGGACGGTTCTGATACAGCGGGTGCATGTGACTGGGCCGCCCGAGCCGCCGTCAGGCCCTGCCGTCGCGGACCTCATCAATCTCGTCGAGAAACTCCACGAGTAGGAGTCCTGCCTCCGTGCCGAGCTACTGGAGCACAAGATCCTCGAGGAGACCATCATCATCGTGCTATTCCTTGAGACCGACGTCGCAACTCTAGGGCGAGAACGCGTGCCTTCACGCCGAGATCAACGCCACCAGGACCAGCCAGCAGCGGGTGGTTGAATTGGAGAAAGAGGTGACCAAATTGTTTTTAGAAGCTAGAAGCAAGCTTCGTATTAGGCTCCGCACGTCCAGAGCGTCACGAGGAGAGCATTACCGTTACAGCCTGTACTTGTCAATTTGGGCCAAAATTTGGACGGCGATTATTTCGTTGGGCTGTCATTTGCAATTTTGCATAGCACAGTACTGGTACTGTACAACACAAACGACGAAACATTATTTTTCTCTCACAATAATTCAGCTAGAACAGTGTTTTCAGCAGGTTTCAGTCAAAATTCAGCAAGCCGAACGGGGCCTGTTGCTCTGCTTTGCCACGTCATTTTGAAGGATAGATATTTTTCCCGGCTCGCTCACTGATCCACCCCATCGCAGCCATCGATCTGGAAATGACCGGCTCATAATTCTCGTCCGCTTATCCTCTCCTTTCTCGTCCCCAACTTCAACCAGTACCCTGCAAAAACCCAGCCGGAGCTCGCGGTCGCCGGTCGCCACCACCAATGGGGCCACCGGCCATGGCGTTCCAAGCCCTCACCCTCACACCACTCCCCTTCTCACTCCACAGCTCGAGACGCCGCGTCCGCGTTCGCGTGCTTGCCGTCGCGGCCGACCAGACCCCTCCGCCGCCGCCGGTCCCCCCTTCGGAGCCGGCTAACAGCCCTAACCGCCTCCTTCGGGAGCTCGCGCAGCGGAAGAAGGCCGTATCCCCTAAGAAGAAGCACCCGCCGCGTCGCTTCATCCTGAAGCCACCTCTCGACGACGAGCGCCTCACCCGGCGGTTCCTCAGCAGCCCGCAGCTGTCGCTCAAGGCGCTCCCACTGCTCTCTTCCTGCCTCCCCTCCGCGCCGCTCTCCACCGCCGACAGGACATGGATGGACGAGTACCTCCTCGAGGCCAAGCAGGCGCTCGGGTACCCGCTCGCGCCCTCGGAGACGCTCGGTGAAGGCGATGACTGCCCCGCGCGTCATTTCGATGTGCTGCTCTACCTCGCGTTCCAGCATCTGGACCCCTCCTCGGAGCGCACACGGACGCGGCACGTACGGAACGGCCACTCCAGGCTCTGGTTCCTGGGTCAGTACGTTCTGGAGCTCGCGTTCTGCGAGTTCTTCTTGCAGAGGTATCCCAGGGAGTCTCCTGGGCCGATGAGGGAGCGGGTGTTCGCTCTGATTGGGAAGAAGGTGTTGCCCCGATGGCTCAAGGCAGCCAGCCTGCACAATTTGGTCTTCCCCTATGACGATTTGGATAAGATGATACGAAAGGATCGGGAGCCGCCATCCAAGTGAGTGTTATGTAGATTTTATATTGGTCTTCCCATTAGTCATTGAATTTTATATAGATTTCGCTAGTTTAAGCATGATAAGGTGTTTGCCTATTGTACATTCTTTCCCTTTTTTTCACGATATGATTCAATGTTGCAAGATGAATTTTCTGTGGCCTTTATGATCAAGTTGTCTCCATGTATGTATAATATAAATGATACAATGATACATTATTACAAATTTACAATGTTCCATCCCTTTATTTTATATTGATCTATACTCCTTTTGATGTGCTAACCCACTGTGAAAAACTTAGTAGCATGAGAATGTATGCTGATTTAGAGCTGTGTAGGAATGTGTGCTGCTGGTTGGCATGCCTATTTGATAAACTTTAGTAAAATGCCTAGTTGTGTTGCATTGCAGGGCTGTATTCTGGGCAATATTTGGAGCTATATATTTGTGCTTTGGAATGCCTGAAGTCTATCGTGTTCTTTTTGAGGCGTTTGGGATGGACCCAGACGATGAGAGCTGTCAGCCAAAATTGCGTCGTCAACTAGAGGATGTTGATTATGTTTCAGTGGAGTTTGAAAAGAGGCTGCTTACATGGCAGGATGTTGCTGCCTACAGGGTAATGGTTCTTATTATTGTTTTCCCTGTATCTTCACTCTTTGCTCCTATCTTATCTTGTCACATCTCATGCAGCCACCACCAGATGCTCTTTTTGCTCATCCTAGGCTTTTCCGAGCTTGTGTGCCACCAGGCATGCATCGCTTCAGAGGAAATATTTGGGATTTTGACAGTAGACCCAAGGTTATGAATACCCTAGGATATCCCTTGCCAATGAATGACAGAATTCCAGAAATCACAGAAGCAAGGAATATAGAGCTTGGACTTGGTCTTCAGGTAACTCAACATCGCCAGACCAGCTTTTCTCCCCTTTTGTCATTTATTTCAAAATTTTTATTTAACTATCTGCGAAGCATGTTCCCGATATTTTACATAGTTAGCCTTTTAAAATTCTATTTTCTGTGGCAATTAGCCATAATCATAAATCAGAAAAGGAAATTGATACATAAGTAGCTTTTTGAAATTATATTTTCTATAGCAGTTAGCTAGAATTGTAAATCAGAAAAGGAAATGAAGTGCACAACTTGACTCTTACATGTAGAAAACAACACAGTCGAGAATACAGGTCCTTTTGACTCAGCATGAGAATGCCATTTTTTATCCTATAATATATGTAGCTGTAATGAGGGAATATAGTTTGGAGGATCGATTGTGAAGACTGAACTGCAGCGAGTGTATTTGTGGTGAGGCTTACTGATTGGCGTTACCATATCTTATCTAAGTGTTCTATGATTCGTGATGGGATGCAATGAAGTTTAACCAAAAGTGTTGGTTTACGAGATTTGAAAAATTGCTAGGTTAGGTTTTAATGTAGTGATACACAAATACAGCTCGTTCGCTGGTTGGTTTCTGGGCTGATAAGTCCGGCTGGTGCTGGTTTGTTGTGAGAGAAAAACACTGTATCATGGCTGATAAGCCCTGGCTGAAACCAACCAGCGAACAGGCTGATAGTTTATTTCGATCATCACACATTGCTGTAGTGTGTACCTTAATCGTCAAACTGCTTCCAGGCTTAATCACATACCACTTTTCAGTTGTAACATGAGTTCAGGTTTATCATTATTCTGTATTCCGTTCTAGAAAAAAAGTATTATGTATTCCCTTGATGACATAGAAAAGAGAAACCTGCTGGCTTCCATTACATTTACAATACAAGAAAACAGACCCAGACAGGCCATCATGGTGCTTTTGTTTCCCTGCAGCTGTGCTTTTTGCACCCGTCAAAACATAAGTTTGAGCATCCAAGATTCTGTTATGAGCGGCTTGAATACGTCGGCCAGAAAATTCAGGTATGCTGTACCTTCTTTCCCTGATGGAGGGAGTATTTTCCAGTGTCTTGCCACTGTTCAATTGGCCAAGAGCAATGCTGAAGGTCTGAACTTCTATGTGCCAGGATCTAGTAATGGCAGAGAGGCTACTCATGAAGCACCTCGATGCACCAGGCAGGTGGCTGGCGGAGAAGCATCGGAGGATGTTGATGAACAAGTATTGTGGACGGTACCTGCGGGACAAGCACCTGCAGCACTACATTATCTACGGGGAGACAGTGCAAGACAGATTCGAACACAATCGACGTCTAAGGAATCCTTCAACGACCTCTGTCCAGCAAGCGCTACATGGTCTTGCATACTGTGTGTATGGCAAACCTGATGTGCGGCGCTTGATGTTTCAGGTGTTTGACTTCGAACAGGTTCAGCCTAAAGCAGTATGAGGATCTTCTCCTTCGGTATGAGTTGCTGACCAACAAGACCGCCAATGGCAGCGGTAAAAGTACCGCAGCTTCTTGAAGTTATCTATCCGACAGGAGATCATTCAATTCTGAAGCCTGAACCCTGAGCTGTGGCAGCAGATTAGCCACTGGGTGCGGCCTCTCCTGAAACCGTCACTGTTCCAGCCTCCTTGTCCCTTGGAAATGGTAGACTAATGATGCTGTAAATCGGAAGTTGCTGTTCTTTAATCTTACAATTTTGACAATTAGTTGTAAATTCCTGTTTGGGCAGAAACTCAAATAGCATGGCAGATTCATTTCCTATCAGAACTGTAGTCTGTAATCAAGAAGCAGTGAGATGAATAATACAAAGATATTCATTCGTCCGCCACATTAGTGCATGATTCGTGCATATAATAATTTTCTTTTGCACTTATTCGCCCTTCAGATATCTGAGCCTATGACAGCTCAGGTTAATTAGATCAATGCCATTATAAATTTCATCTTTTTAGAGTCTACCACTACTTCTCATCTAATGGTCGGAACTACTTCGTACACCTATAGGCTTCATTAAACAACAGAAAATTCGAAATAAAAAGGGTGCTACTAGCGTCTGGACGACGCCTCAGGTTCTTCGCGCAGGAGGCCATGCCGCACGCGAAAGAAACCCGTGTTTCCTGTTTTCGCATGCCCCACCGTGTGGCCCCCACACTGCGTACTCTACCATCGCGCTCGCTCTGTTTCTCTTGACCACTGAGCCCACACACAGAAAACCACGTAGGTCCTAGTCATCTGCCCCCGCCTATGGATGCCACGCCATGAATGCGTCTGCCGACCTCATGCGTCGGCACAGCGCCCCAGCAGCTGCAACAGGAGGCTGCGATAGGTGGGTGCCATTGCAAAATATGCAACACCGATCTACTTTTGCAATATCCAAATGAAAACATTTGCAACATACGTAAAAAACGGCTGAAATACTTGCAATATACGTCTGAAACACTTGCAAAACACCAGAAAAACTTGAAAATACGTGTGTAGTCGTTGCAAACATATGCAAAAATCCAGATAAAATACTTACAACATACGTATGAAAATATCTGAAACACTTGCATATATATGCAACATCTAGATCTACTTTTGCAACATCCACATAAAAATACTCGCAACATACATCTAAAACAGATAAAAAACTTGGAACATACATGTATAGGCATTGCAACGTGTGCAATATCCCGATCTACTTTTGCAACATCGATATAAAAACACTTACAACATATCTCTGAAACACTTGAAACATACGCTTGCAACATGCGCTTTCAGCAGAATATCACCTTGCTGCTTGGACGAATGGAGGCTCATCGGCACGCAGCCGGCGCGGAGATCGACGCCAGCACAGAGTGGGGGTGCAGCGGGTGGGCGGGTGCAATGCCCACAGTGAGCAACCTCTGCACTGGAGAAGGCCGCGGCGGGTGGGCGGGTCGGTGCCCGTGGTGCAGCGCCCTACGCTCGAGAAAGGCCACAAAGGAAGGGATTGGATGTCGCTGGCGGGAGCGAGCGCGGCATCTGAACGTGTGGATGCCCTGAGCATTACTGAAATAAAAAAAAGAAGAGTTAAATACGCTGACGGCCCTTAAATTTGTGGCCCTGTGCCATTTAGGTCCACGAACTTCTAAAACCAAAATTTGCCCCCCTGAACTTTCTGAGTCGTACACCGCAGGTCCATACCCCTTCGAGAGGTGTTGACTAGGATAAAATTTTGCACAAACCACCCTACGTAGTAATCTTGTACCCCTAGCAGTCCTTCCCATGCAAAGGCCCACAATGCCCGCGTCGTCGAGCGGCCGAGTCGGCCTCCTCCTCCGGCCGGGCACACCAGCAGGTCGCCAGCGCCCACCAGGCCACTCGTCCGCCATCGCCCCAACGCCAGCCAGCCGCTGTGGCCGCTCGATGCCAACCCGCCGCCACAGCCGCTAGACGCCAGCACGCCGCAACCGCCGGCTTTCTTTCCCTCCACGCCGCCCGATGAGCTTCGTCAAGGCAAGCGGAGCTGTCCGCGATGCCAGTCCGAGCCACGACGCCAGCCGCGGCTGCTGCTGGACGACAGGAGAGGCTTCAAGCTGGTGGATGAGGAGTCCATCCCGACGGCCTGGCAGTGGACGTGACGGGTCTGGCGCCGGGGATGAACGCCATGAGCTAGATGACCTAGCCGTACACGCACAAGGGCGAGGCACGCGTGGCATCGCGACACTATCGGTGCGCGTGGTGCTGGCGTTGGTCAACTCCTTGGCGCGTCCGACCTCGACATCCGATTCGGTGGCTGCCTACCCTGCGAGGAGGCCGAGCTACAGGCCGGCGAAACCCAGGCGAGCGCCGAATGCCAGCGCCACCCCTACCGGCATGCCTACCAGGTTGATGCGTGCGCCGCTGGCTGGGCGGGCGCTGCCGCATAGGACGCCGCAGCCGGCTGTCTGTGGGCAGTTGCCGAGTAGAGGCCCGTGATGGGGAACGTCACAGCCGTGAGGAAGAAGATGTCCATGTCCGACGTGAACAAGCGGCCCCAGTGGCTGTGGACGGACACCATGAAGGTGGCGGCTGCCAGGCCCATGCCCACACCGATGGGAAGGGCGGCGCCGGCGGTGCGCCGCGTTCCCGCGGGGCGGCCCGCACCTAGCTGGTGGCTGACGCACGTGGACGCACCCTGGCCCAGCGAGGATAGGGCAGGTAGACGAGCGATGTGGCCTGGAGGAGGATGCCCATGGACGCCATGGTGACGCGCGGGTTAGCCAGGAGGGAGGCCACGATCATGAGGTTGCGGATGGGCCCATGTAGCAGCACCGAGAAGAGGGAGCACGCCGTGATGGGCACCGTCAGGTTTTGCGACCTGAGGTAGACGCACAAAGGGTGCAGCACGACTAGCACCGCGAGGTTGGCCAAGGCGTACCATGTATGCGCGCGAAACGTCTGCGCCCAAGTCCGCCACGCCTCGCCGTCTGCCCCAAAGCAGCTTGACCACACAACCCGTGGTGGTGACCCACAACAGGAGATGGGGCGCCACGGCGAAAGCGGCGGCAAGAAGATGCGGTGCGGCGCCAGCGCCGGCGCCATTGTTCATGGCATGGCGCCCGATCGCCGAGCCTCGCCGGTCACCTGCAGGTGCCATCCAGTACATGTAAGAGCTAGCTAGCTAGCACAGGTACGTCTCCAGCGGGGACGGGATGATCTGCCATTTCCAACAGCCTGGGCAAGGATGACCGGAGGCAGAAGATTACTAGGGCAAGGTGTTTTTTGCAAAAAAAAAAATCCTAGTCAGCACCTCTCGAAGGGGTATGGACCTGCGGTGCACGACTTAACAAGTTCAGGGTGGCAGATTTCGGTTTTGAGAGTTCGTGAGCCTAAATGGCATAGGGCCACAAGTTTAAGGGCCGCCAGCGTATTTAACTAAAAAAAAAAAAAACAATGTTGACCTGGGCTAGGAGCCCACAGCCCACGCTCGAAACAAATTCAGCCCAACACCGCAAAAATTTGGGCCCGCGAGGGTGGATTGAGCTCGACTGGGCTCCGACCAGTTGACACTCCCCAGACCCTGAACCCTAGCGGCTGATTTCTTTTCCCCTTTCCTCCCGGCGCTGCTCTCTCCTCCGACATCCGCGGCAGCGAAGACTAGGCCAACAAAAAATCACGCTAGCGGAAGCAGCAGACGGGAGGGGAAGATGTCGTCGCTGCGGAATGCGCTCCCGCGGCGCGCTCACAAGGAGCGCTCCCAGCCGTAAGTTCTCTGCCCACAGATGTTACCTGTTACCATTCGAATCCGAGAGGATGGCGCCGCCGCTGGACGTGCCGTCTCCGAAAACGGAGGGTGCTGTTTTTTGGTCTGAATGTAGTTTTGCAGGGAGGCGAGGAAGAAGTTTGGGCTTTTGGAGAAACACAAGGACTATGTCGTCCGGGCGCGAGCTTACCACATCAAGGAGGCAACCATCGCGGTATGCTTCTGTTCTGTCCAATCCTTGCATAGCGCTTAGGAAGTTGGGAACTTGCTTGTTGTATCAGATTTAGATATACTTTTAGCATATTATTAGCAGTTTAACTATCTTTAGCTATCTTGTCTTAGTCTACAGATGCTGTGACTGCATAATCTAAAATCCTTGTTGTTTGCAATTGTTCACAGAAACTGAAGGAGAAGGCAGCATTTAGGAACCCGGATGAGTTCTACTTTAAAATGATCAACAGTAGGACTGTTGGTGGAATTCATAGACCTAAGTATGTACAATGTAGCCCTCGTCTCCTCTTAACTCTAGTATTGTAAGGTTTGGTCTACCGTGTGTTTTAGTTTTCACTGTGCCATACATTTCAGGCCTGAAGACAATAAGTATACTGAAGAGGAACTTCTTCTGTTGAAAAATAAAGATATGGGATATATCCTTCAGAGCCTTCAAAGTGAAAAAAAGGTTTGTGATGATGTTAAAGTATTCAGAGCAAATAAGTACAATTTTGTGTCCTGTGGCTGAATGCTTCATTATGTTTTAATTTGGATGGGTCACTTTGCAGAAAATTGAAAAGTTAAGGTCAACACTTCATGAACTGGATAACAAGCCTCAAAACAAGCATGTTTATTTTGCCGAAGACAGGTACAGTAATGAGTTCATTTGCCTACCATTTTTGGAACTATCTGCTAGTTAAGTTTGTGCTGACATTTAGGTGGCTTGCTGTTTTATTTCAGAGAAGAAGCGAAAGAAATACAATCAAGGATAGGACAAAGCAGCAACATGCCTGGTTTTGACAACATCCCTTCTCGTATAAAGAAGTAATATGCTCTCCTCTTCGGAATGGCACATGTGTATCACTTCTATAGCTGTGCTTAATAGCATCATGCTTATGGGAGTCATTTTCACTGTTTAGTCTTATTATTTATATTTGTGTTTGTGTCCATTTAACTAGGACTAGTATGATTGCATGCATGATTGAAATGGGGTTATGATATTATGCAGTTTAGTTCATTGACTGCTATCCCCTGTTGTATCCTTTGTTTTTTCCCCAGAAAAACTGCCTCTTCGTACAGGGAGCTAGAAGAGAGGAAGCAGCGGCTTCAAAAGCTTGAGAAATTGTATGCAGACATGGCCTTGCAAAAAGAATTGAAGGTATTGCATCTCAGTATTTTGAATTTTTCTTTACTTGGGTGCTACTTTCAAAGGTTCAATTGAAACAACATATAAAAGCGTTGTGGACTGGGTTGGTGCTGCTGCCAGCCAATTTCTGGAATTAACTTCAGTATCAGATGGAATGCATCCATCCTTTAGTTGGCGTTAGCCACAACACTGCCCTAAAAGTTATTGGTATATTTTGTGTTCTCAGTTGACCGCTCAAGTCGATAGGAAAAAGAAGGATGGTACTGTATAGACTGGCTGAATGATCTGCTACTTGGTTAAATAGTTACTTTCCAGCATGTTTCTGATAGGAAATTTAAGTATTATATGGAAGCTTCGTTTTCAAGTCATTGGCAGCACCTACTCTCACTGGCCAAGGAAAAAAAAACTAGAAAATTAATGACACAATGAGCATAAGTTGGAAGCTGGCAGTTTTCCAGTTTAACTGGGTAATTGCGGCAGCTTGCTAAAATTGCGCTAATCTGGAATCTGTAAATCATTTAGTTTCTGGGAATTCACAGACTTCTTGCCAGCTTGTGCTGATAATTGAAAGTCTGTCTGCTAATATTTAGAGTTTACAGAAAATTATGTACCATTTGTAACTCTTCAATTTGTAATGCTGGTTCAGAAACCTGGACGCAAGAGGAAACTGAAACTCAATGAAGATGAGGAGACGGATAATGCAACATCACAGCCTGTTTATAAATGGCGAGCACAGAGGAAGCGGTGAGGTCATAAGTTAGTTTTTTTTGCCATGCTGATCTTGTTAACTTGTGCTCACCCTCATTCTTCAATTTTCAGATGATATGAATGGGTGACAAAGGGAGGACAAGGCAAGGCATTAGTAGTGGAAGTATGGTCATAGTGGCGTACAGAAGCTGGTGATTGAACAACACTTTTTGGATCCTAAAATATTTCCCTGTAAAAGTAGCCCTCCGCAAGAACTACTGTGTCTTTGTCAAACTGTTGGGCAAAAAAGAATTAGGATAAGATGTAACTTTAATTTATACAAGATTGGATTCTGTATGACTCAATCCTATGCATCATATCTCAATTCATTGTTCTCTATTCTGTTGAATTCCCCTAGTGATGGGCTGTTTTGTGATCCATCTTGAGGTCAGCAAGTAATGCCAGATACAAGAGGATAGATCCATGTATCCTAGCGTTGGGTTGACCACTTCTTTTTTTTTTTTGAGTCATGTATGATCAAGTCAAAGTATAATCAAAGAACGAGGATTTTAAAGAATCCATACAACAAAAGAGGATTGCTGCACTTCATATTTGGCCATGTATGATTATGGAAGCTTCTCTATACATTCCCTTGCATTCAACAAGCTCAGACCCGCCAAAGCCACAGAAATCCAGTTTGGTAGAACCACATGCAAACTAATCGATGGTAACCAAAAAGAACACATGTGACCTTCAGAGTCCAGACCAGGTTCCGTGCCCTGAAAGTGTCATACACCACTTCAATCCCCATCATATTCATGTTTCGCTGAAACTTTCAGTGAATTACATCTTCTAACAATTACATGCAATAAGCATCGGAAAGATCTAGGAAAAAAAGAAAACAGCTCAAAATGTTCTTTACTGGATTATTTTCTTTGGCGAAGCCTAGTCCTGACACGTCAGGTTCATTATTCTGCAGTGCATGGAGCATCCGACAATGAAGATTTGTTTAGGAGACTCCCATCACAAATATTTTGAAACAACGTGTTCAACAATTGCCAAGCTTGATGTCAAACCAGGGGATTCTATTCCAAACAAATTAACTAGTCCAGGAATACCATGGACATCCCACCCCTGCAGTCATTCAACTAATCAGTAATGAACGTGCATGAGAAAAATAAGCTTTTGGATCTGATATAGAGCTAGATGCCTATCAAAGTTCTTGACATATGATACCAGTAAGCACCTGAATAACAAAATCTGAAGGAGGTTGTCCAGGACCAGAAAGCTTTGGTCGGATCCCAGAATAACCAGGTTCCAAAGACCCATCCTTGAGATTTGGAAAATACTTCCTTATCACAGGGTAAAATACAGAACAGCGGGTGGGGCTTACTGAGTAATCAAACCTGATGAAGATATAAGATTCTAAAGTTACAAACCTTGTGATAATTACTAAAATATTCTACTACTGTGCTCCAGATTCCATAAATCATGCTGATAGTAAGAATGATGAGAAGCATGGTACGGCACCAAATTGCATTTTCTTGGGAAAACACAGGTTCAGTTATGTGACATAGGGGTATATCTATAACTTACCTTATCAATTTATCATCATCACTAATAAGTTGCTACAGATTCTATCATAAGCAAAATAAGAATACTAGCATTAGCATGCCAGTTAAAAAAGGTGGTATCTAGAATAACTTATTACAGCCTTCTTTGGTCATGAACTAAGAAGCTAAACATGTTCTTAGAAAAAGCATGAAAATTTCAGCCCCATAAAAAGGAAGGGAAACATAATTCGATTGAGTGGGGTCTCTTGCTTAAAAAAACAGTGGCATATTTTAATAACTGGATGTACACATGTTTGCAATTGCTTACTTGTTCAGAAAACATGACACATGGTCCTTTCCGCCATCAGATATCCATTCAACATCTGGACCAAATCTGACAAGGCCATTCAAATCTATAGTGACATGGACCCCTATGCCACCATCCTCTGGTAGAGGATATATTAAGCGCCTGAAAGGACTCTTGGTTTGAGAGAGGGTGAAGTAGCATCCACGTGCATAGTGAGGAGTGGGCACAAATGCCTGGTCAAGGCCACGAAATTGTTTGGCAAGTGGAACTGCACTCAGACCTGCTGAGTTTATCACAAGCTTCGGAAGCAAAACAAGCTGTGCATTCACATGAGACCCTACAAGATAGTTCTGCAGCTCTTTGCTTTCACAAACATGGAGTTCAAGGCCTTCGGATCCAACATGGGCACTGATAACTGCTGTGTTGTATGATACAGTTGCTCCCAAGTTTTCAGCATCAGCCTGCATCACAAAAACAATCAAAATAAAATGACAGTGAAAGCAAATTCAGCCTAAAATTCTAAATTGGACTGATTTATATGATGGCCATCGTACCAAAAGTGAGAGCATGAGTGAATGAGAGTCAATTATCCCGGTACTAGGTGATAGTAAAGCTTTAAGACATCGAAGCTCAGGTTCCATCTCCATAGCTTCAGAACCCTCCATCAACTGAAGGTCATCCACCCCATTTTCTTTGGCATTCCTGAGGAGCATGTCCAACTTTGGAATCTCTGCAGCACCAGTGGCAACGATGAGTTTGCTGATTCGTTTGTGGGCAACGCCTCGTTCTTCGCAGTACTTGTAGAGCATTTCCTTTCCTCTTACACAAAGGGTAGCCTACAAAAGGCAATCCACAGGTAGAATCTGTGATACATTAATTAAGGGCTCCATATAGATGTTTCATGTAGCGCCTGTAAAGTTAGAACTATTTTCAAGTTAGATGCTCAATTCTTATATACTAATGTTTGTTGAACTGTCTAAAATCCTAAAACACATCTACTGTGTCAACGCCCTGACACTGTAGAGTGTCAGTTATTTAAGATGATGAGAACTGGTCTGCTAATTTTTGGAAGGAATAAGATCTAGCTGAACACTTTCCACAGAAGTTAGAGCTGAAATGCAATATTACTAGAGGAGCATGAGATTTCTGTGAACTCTGGTGCATCAATTGACAAGCCCCATTTTGCACCAAACACTAAGAGATCAACCTGCAGAATACAACGTGTCAGGTGTCATCTCGAACAAATTTCATAGATACATCCATAATCCTGTCATGGATCGTTAAATGGTTATCTGTAGCCCGTACCACTACACAACGCTCTTCGACCTGTCTGAAGTCTGGACAAACAAATAAGTACTCCGTACCTAATAAGTCTGGAAGTATGCACGGCAACAGTCTCATAGTACAAGCTAAACCATAGCGATCACATTCGAAGCCCAAATGGACGTCCAAGCAAGCATCAAGTGCTAGAAATCACTGAACCAGAACCCCTGCGCAGCGCACTTATGGTGAATTCGGGGGGTCACAGCAAAGGGCGCGCGCACACCTTGAGGCTTCGCGGAGGGTAGTAGATTCCGGCGTGGATGACCTCGCTGTTGCGGGAGCTGGTGCCGGTGCCGAAGCTGGGGGCCGCCTCGACCACGACCACCTCGCGCCCGGCCATCGCCAGCGCGCGCGCCGCCGCGAGGCCGACGACGCCCGCGCCCACCACCACGGCGTCCGCCGCCTCCCGCGGCGCCCCCGAGGTCCCCGAGGCGAGGCCTCGACCCGCGAGGCCCCGCGGGCGGGCGGCCCCGGCCAGGCGCCGCAGCAGGAGCATGCCCCGCTGGCCGCTGCCTCGTCGGAGCTTTGTTTGGCTACTTGTTGCCAGGTGGAGCCTGGCGACCGCGCGCAGCTCGTACTTGACTACTTTGTAATCTGCTATCGACGCCGCGCGCGCCCGGTGCCCAGTGCGGCAGTGCCCCGGTCTCGCGTCCTTTCGGCCTCTAGAACGGCACGGGCGCACGGCACACCCATCTGCGCTCTGCGCGCGTGTTTACGCACACCCCTCGCCGATGAACATAATAAGCGACACGAGTCAGGTTGCACATGACACGCTTCACAATTCACACTGTATACCATGGACATCCATATATGTTCTACTGAATCGTTGCGTTGCCGGCTTGCCGCCATAGCAAGGAGGCAGCAGAGGAGCGCCGGAGTATTTGAGCTTCGTTAGTACCACTGCCTTTCGAGAATCCAGACAGCGTCGCTGCTGCTTCGTGTGAATCGAGCTGAGCATCTACAACCGATCACGACGGGCTATGGGTATCTGCGCATGCTCATACGATTCTCCCAATTATGTGCAGTTGTCGTTTCCTTGCTACAGAGAGTTAATTATAGCTACCATGAGAAACCACTGCACGTGCACGAACACGACAATGGCGTTTTTCTGAGTTGTTTGGCCCTGATGACGCTCTGCAGTGCTGACAATGACAGTTGGTAACTGCAAACCAGCCTGTATTCTTCGGTTCAGCAAGATTAGGGGCAGTGTTACCATGGTCACCACTCACCAACACATGCTTCAGCTAGCAGCAGTGACAGCTATGAGCTATCTTGTTCATCACGTGTTAGCATGAGTGCTACTGTTTTTTCCTTTGTTTTCTAAAATTAACTCGGTTGGCAGGTTAGGTTGGCCTTATCAGTGTAGTATTCTGGACGTAGGACACTGGGATTGACTTGATTCACCAACTTCATCTACTTCGGCTCAGCAAGTAGGATGAAAACATCAAGCAGCTGCCAGACCAATCCAAGTTCAATTTTACATCATACTTCACATATCTACCAGCTGAGGCTACTTCGTGTATTAACGACCATGCACGGTACAAGTGCAACCACGCTTGGCAATCTAGGACTGTAAAGTCATGCCAGCAAGAGTATATGGTGTTTAGCTTGAAGATTGCAGTAAACAGCATGTCCTCTTAAACTAAGAGATCATCAAGTTCAAGAATTGCCGGTGCTTCCTTAATGCTGGAATGAATTGCCTGTTACTTCTTTTGTGCCATGATTTCAATCACCTGGAGAAGTCTCAGTCGATCGATATCATGACCATCTTTCCATAAATTTGCCACAGCACTATGTTCGGTGTTGAACGATGGATATGTGTTGGCTGGTCTTTGTGGGGCTGCAGCATATGGTCCTTGTGGTTGCATAGTGGTTTTGCTGTCCATAAAGGACATCATCATTGACTGGCTAGGACAGCATCTTAGCATCTAGAACAACATCTAGGACAACATCTTAGCATCTAGAACAGTATCTGTTTTAGGACAGCATATTAGCATCTAGCATCTTGGCATATGCTTGGCTGGCTAGCAGCCTATAAATATGTATCCCCAACCCCTCAGGTGGGTATGGCATTTGTGTGAGAAATAAACTAGAAAATTATCTCAACTCCTAGTGTCATCCTCTCTCGATAAGAGTAAGAATTCTGTTACTATCAAGAGTAAGAATTCAGCGACTAACAACGGGTATCAGAGCCGTACTATCATGTAGCCTAAGCATCTCCTGCTCATCTCCTTTCCCACCTCGCTTAATAGCCCCAATCGGGCAGCGGCGGCATCTCAACCCATCTCCTACTCACTCCTCTCCTCTGCCAGACGACGAAGCAGCAGCCTCTCCCACGCAGCAGCCCCCCCAGGCGCGTCATGTCCGCAGGATGATCTCGCGTTCGATCGTCTCGAGCACGCTGGCGTCGGTAGAGGGGCGAACTTGCAGCAGAGAAACGCGAGCGACAGGCGGCGACAGAGACATCTGCGGCAAGCAATGCGGAGCTGGCAAGCAGCGAGAAGCGGGCGGCGGATCATGCGAAGACGTCGCAATGGCAATGGAGGTCGAGGTTCTCACGGCGCATCGCAGCTCCATTTCTGCTGACGACAGCGCCGACGCGGACCTCGAGCTACTGGGGAGGGAGGTAGCGCGAGCGCAGGCGGCGCAGTGGGCAGCCACGCACGCCCACGAGCGCGGTGGCAGCCCAGACAGGCGCGGACGCGCTGGCGGCGCTCCTAGAGGAGGCGTACACGGCAACGGTGACGGACAGGTCGATGGAGAGCGCGGGCTTCACAAGCAGCGTGACTCTCTCTCCCCCCGGATCGGTACCGTGGTTACCACGGGCTCCAGGCTGTTGTCAGGGACGTCGGCCCCAGCGGTGGGTGGCCTACCCTTACTAAGACCAACTACGTCGAGTGGGCTGCGGTGATGAGGGTAAAGCTCCAGATGCGGCACATGTGGGAGGCAGTCCGGTACGACGACGTCGACTACGACCAGGATCGACGGGCGCTGGATGCCCTCATCACTGTAGTCCCGTCCGAGACGCAGTTCTCGCTTACCAACAAGCGGACTGCCAAGGAGGCTCGGGCGCCATCGGCTGCAGCGCGCGACGAAATGACCGCGCCCGCAAGTCCACACCGCAGGGCGCCGCAGGAGTGGGAGAACCTGGCCTTCAAGCCAGGTGAGGATGTTGATGACTTTGCTCTCCGTCTCAACACTCTGTTGCAGAAGATGGTGCAGCTCAGCGATGACACCTACGGTGAGGAGAGAGCTGTCGAAAAGCTCTTCCGCTGCGTCCCCGAAAAGTACAAGCAGATGGCTCGCTCGATCGAGTCTCTGCTAGATCTCTCCACGATGTCGATCGAGGAGGCGATAGATCGCCTCAAGGTTGTCGACAACGATGAACCACAGTCTCTCTCGGGGCCCATCACCACTGGCGGGAAGCTCCTTCTCACTCGGGAGCAGTGGGTTGCCTACCAAGGTAACCGGAAGAAGAGGGAGCCTTCTTCCGCGATAGGCGGCCGCAAGCATGGCAAGCCACGCAAGGCACGCAGAGACGCCCAGGCGGGGGCATGAGGACGTGCCGAGGGTGATGCCCGTGGAGGCGCCCAGGGCGGCGCCGTCGGCAAGCACAAGCCATCACGAGACGACACCTGCCGCAACTGCGGCCAGCTTGGCCATTGGGCCAAGGACTGTCGATAGCCACAACGCGGCCAGGCCCACGTCGCACAGGCAGAGGAGGAGGAGCCGACTCTATTCATGGCACATGCAAGCATCGAGCTACCTCCAGCGGCACCGGCCACAGCGGCTCTCCTCCACCTTGATGAGCCAAAAGCACACGCTCTCCTCGGCGACGACTCCGGCAATGACAAGACTGACGGGTGGTGCCTCGACACCGGCGCCACCCATCACATGATCGGTCGACGGGAGTTCTTCACCGAGCTTGACTCTAGCGTCCGAGGCTCCGTCAAGTTTGGGGATGCCTCCGGTGTGGAGATCAAGGGCGTCGGCTCCGTCATCTTCACCGCCGTGTCTGGTGAGCACAGGCTGCTCACCGGAGTCTACTACATCCCCGCGTTGAGAAACTCTATCATCAGCTGATGTGCACACGCCTATGCAACGCGTGTAGCAAGTTGTGTGGCCCGATCTTCTCGTAGGATCCGCGAACTTGATAACTTGTCGCTGCGTGACTGGTGAAGAGGCGATGCACCACGAGGCTGTCCACGACGAAACTACCGAGACAATCACCCTTCCACGTGTCCGGTCCGAAACAGCCCACGCAATCACGCCTTATAGACGTGAAGGCACGAATGGGTGAACTGCAGTTCGGCGTTCTACAACTCCCTCGAGAATCGAAAGAACAAGTGTTGCAAGCCTCTCAAGACTCACGCATAAACAAAAACTCCACGAGTTTGTGTATTCTCAATTCAGCTAATCAAAAAATCTGACCTTTCATTGTATAGTACAAGATATATATAGGATAGGGACGTTCACTTGGAGTAAATGGCAGATGCGCGTACCAAAGGGATTTCATGGTCGGTTCAAGCGTCTTTCAACCTTCGATAGCGAGCACTAAAATAAGCATAACTCTTTATTGGGAAGTCCAAATAATGAGCCGTTTGATGGGCTGGAAAGTAGACTTGAAGACGCTTCAATCCACATATAGAACACCATCTAACTCCTTGTATTCTGTCCGCATGGTGATGCTTGGAATTCGTACCATGTATCACCATCAGCTAGCTTCGTTGCATTTCCATGCAAAGGTGATGAACCACCATTTTATTCTTGCACACCATAGGCTTCTTGGTTCAAATGTCCAGAGGCTTGAATCCATCTTCATCCCATGCTGGTTCATACACTCCATCATTCCTAAGGACATTGGAACAAGAACTCAAAAGCATAGGCTCATTCAACATAAACTGATTATTAAACATAAGGTTAGCGTTCACCGAGAATGAATTTCCTTCTCCAATTGTTTAGCTCTACTTCTTGTAATTGGACCAGCTATATCAAGTGGAGTTGCATTTGAAGATGAGTGAATGCTAGGAATGTCCTCATTAGCCTCCCCTCTTGAGAAGGAGTCGTCCCTCACTCAAGCTCACCAACAAATGGAAGCAAGTCTTTGACATTGAATGTTGTACTCACATTGGAATATTCAGGTGGCAGCTCAATTTTGTAAGCATTATCATTTATCTTGTGTAAAACCTTGAACGGACCATCACCCCTAGGAGATAACTTACTCTTGCTGCTTGTTGGGGAAATCGATCCTCATGTAGATGCAACCACACGAGGTCTCCGGCTGGAATGTAACCTTCTTCTTACCTTTGTTCGCTTGCTTTTGCATATTGTGCTGATTTCTTCTCGATATTCCTTCTTGTCTCATCATGTAGCTTCTTGAGAAAATCCGATCTCTTTGCTGCATCCAAGTTAACTTGTTCTGTAATGGTAAAGGCAAAAGATCCATGGGAGTATGCGGTTTAAACCCATAAACAATTTCAAATGGACAAAAGTTTG